TGTGAGCCTAGCTCACCCCCCTCCACATCCACACGTACACAGGCAGAAACACACCCATGTGCACACGCACACACATCCACACATGTACATGCAGACACGGGCAGACATACACATGCACATGGACACATGCAGAAACACACCCATGTGCACACACAGACACACGTATACACAGACACACATGTACATGCAGACACAGGCAGGCACACACATGTGCACGCAGCTACACCCCCACACAGATGCACATGTATAAGCACACGCTGATGTGTGGCATAAGAACATAAGAACGGCCACACTGGGTCAGAGCAAAGGTTCATCTAGCCCAGTATCCTGTCTGCCGACAGTGGCCAATGCCCCAGAGGGAGTGAACCGAACAGGTAACCATCAAGTGATCTCTCTCCTGCCATCCATCTCCACCCTCTGACAAACAGAGGCTAGGGACACCATTCCTTACCCATCCTGGCTAATAGCCATTAATGGCCTTAACCACCATGAATTTATCTAGTTCTCTTTTAAACCCTGTTATAGTCCTAGCCTTTGCAACCTCCTCAGGCAAGGAGTTCCACAGGTTGACTGTGCGCTCTGTGAAGAAGAACTTCCTTTTATTTGTTTTAAACCTGCTGCCTATTAATTTCAGACCCACACACGCACACATACACACAGTCGTGTGCAGCCGCTCACACCCACACACGTACACACTCCTCCCTCCTGGGAGTGTAACTAAGCTCCCCACAGTAAAAGCTTTGGGGAGGTTTCGCTCGCCGCTGACGCCTGCGGACCCTCCCAGCATAGAGCGGGCGCAGGGGTGCTGGGCGCTGAGCCAGGTACCTGGCCCCAGGAGACCCCAGGGGAACAGCGGCCCAGACACCTCATCTCACCTGCACCCAGCTGCAGAACTTGGCTCCACCTTAGCTCCGCCCCGGCTACAGCCCCCTAAGCCCCGCCCTGGGGCCTGTATGGGGCGGGCAGCTCCCCGGCAGTGACAGGCGGAGGGCGTGGCCTGCACAGCCGCTGCCCAGTGTGGCTGTCATGCTTGCAGGGCTGTTGGCCCGAGGTCAAGAACCGGAGGGTTCCCAGGAGTCTGGTCAATGCACCCAGCAGCCCCCAGGGCGTCCGCAAAGCTGGGAACCAGGTATTGCTCCACTGGTCCAGCCTTGAACCGGACCAGCTCTCGGATGCCCTGACAGGCCGCCGGAAAGGGACTCAGCAAAGTGGGGAGGGGAGAGCCAAAAACTGCAGCCACCAGGAGAAGGCGAGCGGTGGTTCCACGGACACAGGCGCTGTCTGAGCGAGAGGGGCTGGGGGCACACACAGGCCGGGGCACACACAGGCTGGGCCGCACACAGGCTGGCACACACGCAGGCTGGCACACACACAGGCTGGGGTACACACAGGCTGGCACACACGCAGGCCGGGGTACACACAGGCTGGCGCACACACAGGCCAGGGCACACACACAGGGTTGGGGCACAGAGGCTGGCACACACCCAGGCTGACTCAAACCAGTGCGGTCGGCCCCGTGCCCAGGGCGTGACAGTCCTGGCCACACGGAGGTGATTCCAGGGTGCAGGGCTGGCGCCACCTCCCGTCCGGGGCTGCGCTGGGCAGGAGCTGTAAATCTGTCTGAGAGGCAGACAGGGCCTTGCTTGGCCACACTCAGGGTCCCCTGCAGAGAGCAGCTGGAGGCCAGGCCCCCATCGGTCATTACCCATTGAGCCATGGGTGTCCCCCGCCACATCCCATGGGCAGGTCTCTCCCATGGAGACACAGGCGGGGCCCAGAGACGCCCCTGAGCTGCTGAGAGCAGGCCCTGCCTCGCCATGCAGCCGACAAGCTCCTGCCTTTGCTCAGTGTCCCAGCAGTCCCTTGGGCCGGCTCCTGCCTGCTGTGCCAGGCTCCAAAGAGCTCCCAGGAGCTGTCTGGCCCCAATCTCCCCCCTGCCCCTCCGGGCTGAGCCACCCCCTCGGACAGGTGGAAGGTGCTTGTGGGCCCCTCAGGCAGACGTGCAATATTATTACCACGTCTCCCGGCTGGGAGACTCCCCAGGGCACCAGCTCACCAGCCCCCTCCCCTCTCCCCTGCCTCCCCCCAACGCCGTCCCCTCCCTGATGCCCACACCCTCTGCACGTTTACGCCAGCGACGCCCACTGGGCAGCATTTGGCCATGCTGAACAGAAGAACCCCGAGCCCTTGGCCCATCCACCCCGTGCTGTGTCCAACCAGCGCCCACAGAGCACAGTGCAAGGAGCTGCCCGTGGGCAATTCTGGGATACGTGGCCCCCGCCCGGAGCAGCGCCTGTCCAGCCCCCAGCAGCCAGCGACAGGCAGACGCAGGTGGGCTCATCTCTCGTTTCCCCCACCCTGCACAGCATCCGCCTTCCGTGCACGTCCTCGTTCACCGCACCTGGCGGCTTTCGCTCCAGTGTCCGGGACGCCCCTCCTGCCCTGGTTCTCTGAGCTCAGCAGGGTTTGCAGCTCCCCCACTTTGGAGTCATGGGGCAAGGTCATTAGCGTGGCGTTAACGAGGCGGCTCTATGCGTCCAGTTCCGTTCTCTGGAGCTGGGTGCGGATGCCCCCGTGACCAAGCAGGGTGGGGCTGGGGGCTTGTTCTGCAGCGTCGATTCCTCTTGTCTCTGAGCAGCTCCTGCCCTGCGGAGAAATGTCTGGCCAGAAGAGGATGTGGCCGGACTGGCCTGACAGCGCCTGGGAGCCGGTGCCACCGAAAGATGCCCGGCTCTCCCCGGAGCCAGGGCCCAGCTGGAGGACGGATCCTTGCACCATCCTCACTGACTTGGGAGAGCTCTGTGACCACAGCCCCCAGCAACTCCTACCCTTCCTGCTGGACCACGACTACCAGCTGGAGCAGGTCGTGGAGAGCCCCGGCCTGAGCCCCGCCAGGGTGTAGACGCTGCTGTGGGCCCTGAAGGTGGTGGTGGAGCGCGCTGGTGAACCGGAGCAGGTCCAGCCGGTCCTGGCCCTGGCGCTGAGACCAACTTTTGTGCTTAGGACCCTGCTGGGCTTCATTGTCGAGCTGGAGAGCATCCAGCACCAGGATGGGCAGATCTCCCAGGAGGTGATGGAGGACACGGTGGCTGCCCTGCACCATCTGCTGACGGCGTCCCCCGAGCAGACAAAGACCCTGCTCTGCTACCCTGTGGACCTTCTCTTCGCCACCGTCCAGAGACTCCAGCGCCGCGGCTTTCAGTTTACATGGATCATCCAGAAACGGCTTCACGACACCAAGAGCCTGGTGGACTCGGCCTTCCCGCGGTGCAGTGCGCCCCTCGCCTCGACAGCCTGGCGGGAGGATTTCCACGCCATCCCCATCTTCCCAACCCCGGAGGAGATATTCGTCGACCCTGGGCAGAAGCTGAAGCGCAACCTCCCCGTTGGGAAGTACGCGAGTGACGCGGCCTACCTGGACACGCACTTCCGCCTGCTGCGGGAGGATTTCGTCCGGCCCCTGAGGGCCGGGATCTTGGCTCACTTCTCCCTGCAGAACGTGTTCGGGGGCGCTGGGAAGCAGAGGGGGGCGCTGCGGCTCTATAGGAACGTGCAGCTGGTGAAGGTGGGCACCTCCCCAGCTGGTGCCATGTACATGGCCAGGTTCCAGGCCCCGCAGGGCTCCGCCCACACTTCCTCCAAACGGCTGCTGAGCGGCTCCCTGACCTGCCTCATCTCCAGTGACTGTGGCCAGGTGTTGTTTGGGACCGTGGTGGGGGGCAACAGGCCTCAGCTCCTGAAGGGGGCCGTGTGGTTGGACATTAAGGCAAACCACAGCGATCTCCTGACAAGGCACCTGGGGAAAACCAACTTCATCATGGTGGAGTCGCCGGCCTTCTTCGAGTCCTACCGGCACGTGCTGGAGGGGCTGCAGGAGCTGGACCCCGCCCGGGTGCCGTTCCAGAGCTACGTCGTGCAGTGCCGCACCCCCGTTGCCCCACCCGTGCACTTCGGAGAGGGCGTGACCTTTGACCTCTCTGTTCTGCATCCCACTGGGCGAGCCGACAAAGAGCCCAAGGGGGACACATCTGAGGTAGGTCTGGGGTAGCGGGAGGGAGGGGCAGGAAGAAGGGGAGGTTGGGCCGGGGTTAGGGCACTGGGGTCAATTCGCTGCACCGGCATGGACTTCCTGACTCCCTGTGCCTCAGTTTCCCATCTGTACCATGCCGAGGGAATGAGGAGAAACACATTGAACAGCAAAGGCGGTGCAGCGCTTTGCACCCTGCTGCGGGGACGCTGGCAACGAGACGCAGGCCTGGTTACCGGGAGTCCGCGCAGTCACAGGGGTTCAAAGAGCCGGGCAGCGGGGCCCTGGCTCACTGCCCGCTGGGGTAACCTCCTGGCTGCCCATGGCGTGGGCTGGGCTGAGCTGGGGGAGGGGCGGCACTTGGCGAGGACAGGGCCTGGCAGCGGTGGAGAGAGAGGCGCTGCCGTTCGGCTCAGATGATGAGGTCACAATGACTCGCTTCCCAGGCTAATTTTGACACCCCTCCCGCCCCCCAATTCCTCCCAGCTCAGCGGAAATGAAATGGGAAAAACGTGGCTGCAGCTGCCTGCCCCCCGCTGCCTCGGGGCCTCGCCCATGACACCCGGCGTGTGCCAGACGCCCGCTTCCACCCCTCCTGCCGAGCCCAGCGCGAGAGGCCAGCCCCCGCTGTGCGCGCCTAGCGTCTGGGATGGGCCCGCGCCCGTGGCGGCTGGCCCCTTGTGCCGTGGCGACGGCTCTGCTCTCGGTTTAGCGCATGAGCTTGTTCAGAGCTAGCGCGGGCGTGTCCCCCCAGCTATCACGCCCCCAGCTCGCCATACGGACACACCCCATTACTCCTTCTGCCGGGCTGCCAGCTGCTGACCACTAGACTGCGCCGGCCACCCTAGGCCGGCATCGCCGGCGCTCGCCGTCCCAACCACTCGCTCGTACCGATCTGACCCAGAGTCCCCCTTCCCCATGGAGCGCTGCAAGAGCCCCTCTCCCCCCAGCTTCGCTCTGCTCCGTCCCGCCCCCGCTGGCCCGTTGTCCTCCTGCCCCCCTCCCCGAGGCTGGCTGGAGTCACAGGACCCTCTGCCACAAGCCTTCAGTCAGTGTCGCCGTGGGGGGAGGCAGGGGGGCAGATCAGGTGTGTCACAGGCGGCCTGAGGCCTCTCTCCCTTTCAAAGGGCCGGCCACCCTGTGACAGTCCACAACCCCCCTCATCAAGACCCTGCCTCGCTCTCCCCTGGCCCTGTGGCCCTCCCAGAGCCAAGTGTGTGATCTGAGCCCCGGAGCTCCACTCCCATGCCGGCACCGCAGCCAAGAGGGACTGAACTGGGCCTAGTGGGTGACCCGTCTCCTGTAACAGATCCCACCCCCGTCCCCGTCCCCGTCCCCGTCCCCATCCCGAATGGGCCAGCAATGGCCCAAACGCAGCCCCTGCCACTGCTCCAGCGGGACTGTTCGCAGGGCGGCAAGCCCCTGCTGCTGCTTGTGTTGCCATGGCTACCCTCCTATTTTGGTGCGTAGCTCACTCAGAACCGGCACCTGAACCAGAATTACACCCCCCTCCTCTCCCCCGCTCCAGTGTAGACGCACAATCAGAAACACCTGCACATGTGGGAGTCCTTCCAGGAGAGGGCAGCAGCGCACGCGTCTCCACACCTGCACCATGGAGGGCTCCTAGGAGGCAGTTGAGAACATGCCTGGCTCTTGGCTTTCAGGGGCACGTGACCACGGTGGACCTGACGGCCGTGAGACCCCGCGACTCCTATATGTGGTCTCCACAGACATTTCCTCACATAGATGAGTCTCAGATTTTGGCCA